CCATGTGGCAGCCAGCCATTACCCCTGTTCCTCTTCTCTCTTAGTCTCCCTACTCTGCCAGGCCATATAATAAACTAGTTAACATGTTTCATCTTGCAGCTTTCTCTTTTCCTCTTTTTGAATAAAAACATAACACTGATCTCTGTGAGTTTGAGGCCAGACTGGTCTACAGAGTAAGTTCCAGGACAGCCAGGACTACAAAAAAATCAATTACCTCAAAGAGGATTAAAAAAAAAAAAAATAGCTGAGGGCAGAAACAGCTGACCTGAACAAGGGGGAGCACATGGCCCCCACTCTGGGAGGCCAGCGCGGGACTGATCCAGACCCCTGAACATGGATGTCAAGGAGGAGGCCTCCGCACTCTATGGGGCCCCTGGTAGTGGATCAGTATTTTTTTCCTGGTGTAAGAAGGGACTTTGAGAGCCCATCCCACATGAAGGGATGCTCTCTCAGCCTGGACACATCGGTGAGGGCCTAGGCCCTGCCCAGGATGATGTGGTGGACTTTTTGGAGCCCCCATGGAGGGCCTTACCATCCCTGGGGAAGGAGGTTTAAGGGGGTGGGGGGTTGAGGGGAGGGGAGGGAGAGGGAGAAGGGATTGACAATGTGAAGCAAGCTTGTTCCTAATTTGAACTAATAAAAAAAAATAGCTGAGAGGCTAGAGTGATGGCTCAGCAGTTAAGAGCACTGGCTACTCTTCCAGAGGACCTGAGTTCAATTCCCAGCAACCACAAGGAGGCTCACAAACATCTATAATGAGATCTGGTGCCCTCTTCTGGCCAGCAGACATACTTGCAGAGCACTCATACATAAAATATAAATAAATAAAAATTTTAAAAATAGCTGATAAAATAAGTAAGAATTCATTTCAGGAATTGTATAAGAAAGTTAGCAATGTGCATGAAAAATGCAGCAAGGAAGCTGGGCATGGTGGGAGCGCCTTTAATCCCGGCACTTGGGAGGCAGAGGCAGGCAGATTACACAGTGAGTCCCAGGACAGCCCAGGGCTGCATATAAAAACCCTGTCTTAAAAAACAAAACAAAACAAAAATCAGCAAAGAATTTGAGATTTTGAAGAAAAGAGATATATTAGAAACAAAATCTCAGTAAATCAAACAAGAACAAAGCATAGTGGAAAGCATCCCTAATATATCAAAAGAATATCAATTATTGAAGATAAAATTGAGGAAAAGTCATATGCAGGTATCAGGAAAGAAAAAAAAGGGTCAATACAATTTTCGAGAACTCTTGGAGATGAAAAAAGAGACAACATGTGAGAAACTTAGGGAAAAGCAGAGCTGAGATTTAAAAAAAAAAAAAAAAAGCTAATAGCACAGAAAACACACTCAGTAAAATATCAGAAAAATTCCCTTATCTAGGGAAAGATGTGGACAGCCACACACAAGAGACTTATATACCCCTGAGAAATTCGAGCAGGAAGTGTTTTTCCTCAGGCTGGCCAGCCTTAGACAAGCTTTCCACCAAGGCTAGCGACCTTAGTTCAATCTCTGGAACACACATTACAGGAGGAGAGAACTGACACACACCGGTCGTCCTCTGACTACCAAATGCACACTACGGCATGCACATGTCCACAAACACCAATCAATCGGTGTAATGAAACAGGTCTGCAAAAACAGCTAAGTGGTTAAGACAGCATTTGCTTTTGCAGAGAATCTAAATTTAGTTCCCAGCAACCATTATCTGGCAGCTCACAACCACCTGTAACTCCAGCACCAGGAGACTAAACACCTTCTTCTGGCCTTCACAGGCAGTCAAACTCATGTGTGCATGCCCACACAGAGACAAAAAAATCATTCTTAAAAAACAGTTGGGCATGGTGGTGTATACTTTTTATCCCAGTACTCAGCAAGCAGAGACATGCAGATCAAAAGCAAGTTCCAGGACAGCCAGGGCT